CCAGGTGAGGATGGAGCTGCTGCAGCCCAGGTGAGGATGGAGCTGTTGCTGCAGCCCAGGTGGAGCCTGCTCAGTGCTCAGGACTGTGCCCAGCCATGAGCTGAGCCTATTTCACATTTCTTCCTCTGCAGGTGCTCACAAATCTGAATTGCTGCTCTCCAGCTATCCAGTCCAACCTTTTCTCACACATTGCAGGCTTGGTGGCAGAGTGTCCTTTATTCTTTCCCACTCTTTGTTCCTTTATTTAAGTCACAAAACACCAGCAGTGCTGCAGTTTGTCACCCCAGTACCACACACTGCTCATGGGAGTGACCCTGCTCACACACTGCCCCTGTGCTCCAGACTGAGAGGGAAAGGTTGGAATTCAGACACTTTCTTGGTTTCATTTCAAAAATATTTTACAGATAGTATCACAATACCAAAAGTCAGGCCAGCAGTTTAATAATAATAAAAAATTCTTTTAATTTTAAATGAAATGCATATGCTTAATAAAATCTAATCAGTGCTTTTAAACTGGATACATATGACTATAAATGCCAGTTTTTAATGTAGTTTCTCAGCTGGAAATCACTGGGGATCATTTGGAACTCTGGCTTCCAAGAGTGATGTGCTTGTCAGAGAGAAAATTTGATAAATCACTCAAAATGGCTTTGCTGTGGTTTCCGTGCACTTCACATGGAAAACTTTTCATGAGGTTTTTTCAGGATCCAGGGGTAAGGAGGGACCATGAGAATGGAATTGTCTGGGACATTGTCTAGCTGAATCCCAGCTAGACATCATAACTTATGTGGTGCGACATCAACATTTTTGTAATTATTAAGACACAAGAGTTTGGGGTCGAGTTGGAGAAGGGGAAACTGCTCATTTTTCAGAATTTCAGACTCTGTCATGTTCCTGTCCATCCAATGTGTGCTGCAATTCCTGAACCTCTTTTCCCTTGCACTCCACAGATCCCAAACCCCCTGTTTGACCTGGCTGGGATAACTTGTGGCCACTTTCTGGTTCCCTTCTGGACCTTCTTCGGTGCAACCTTGATTGGAAAAGCCGTGATTAAAATGCACATCCAGGCAAGTGCTGCCCCTCCCTCGGGCCTGAAACCTTTGATTCTTTCCCTGCCTGTTCCACTGTGTCACTTGGGAACGAATCCTGGAGTCTCCTTGCCCGACCTGAAGTAATGGAAATTAATTTGGTGCAAGGGATTTACAATAAAGCAGCTGCTGGGCTCCTCCAAACTGTGGCAAGTGAGTAATTTATAGCTGCTGGCCCGTTCAGGAAATTGGTGGTTAGCCAAGGTATTTACCTATGGCCTTTACCAGACTGCCAGGGCTCCTCTCGCTGTGAACTCCCTTTTTGGTAACCAGCACTCATTTGCACTTTGAAATGTGCCTTTTTTAGCTCGGTGAGAAAACCCCAGTGAGCCCTGCTGGGCTGGCCCAGCCCCCTTTGGGCAGATTTGCTGCACTTTTGGGCCTGGGGCAGCGATTTTTGGTGGTGCAGCCCTTTTGGAAAGGGCCTGGCTTTGCTGGCTCGCTCAGGGCCGTGCCAGATGTGCTGAGTTTGACAATCCAGTTGTTTTCACAAAATGTTGGAGTTCTGCTTGGAAATGCGTCACCCTGGTCCGAGGAGAGATGAAATTTGGATTCCCTGGAGGATTTTCTGGTGTGGTCAGGGCTGCAGCATGAACTACATCGCTGTGTTTGGGATGTTTTCAGCTGAGTTTGGGTTTTTGCACTGCCTGTGCCTCTGTTGTTTGGAAATCTCTGCTGTGACTCCCATCAAAATAAGCTTTTAGTATAAAATAATTCGTGTTCCAGCCTCATCAAGCTGCTTTAAAATCTTTATTTTGCTCTAAACACAAGTTTTTTTTCTTCCCATCATTTTTTTAATTGGTTCTTTTATTTTGCCCAGTGCTTAAACAGAAAACAATAAATAGATGTGGAAATTCTTCCATTTCTTGGGAGAGAACAGCTTTTTCTCCACACTTATTTTTGTATTATCTGAATTTTCTTCTGCTTTTAAATCCGTGTGTTGGCTAAAATATGTTCTGGCAGCACAGAAAAGTGAAACAATATTAGATCAATATTCCTTTTATTATTTTAATTGCCTTGTTCAGCTACCACAGTGTTTGCTGTGTAATTTATAGTGCTCCACACTCAGATCCCATGTAAGTGAAAAAACATTTCCCAGTGCCTTGTACAGTTGGTAAATCATCAGATTTTGTAATAGGCTCAGCTTTAAGAATTCTCTTTTTCAAGCACACCCTTGTGCAATAGCCTTGATTTTTTGGAGTGATCTGGCTGGACATGGAATTTAGGAAATGTGAGAGTCATGGAAAAGGCTTTTAATGCAATGTTCAGACAGGAAGTGAGTGACTGGTGCAGTGACCATCCCAGGACTCCTTTTATATTAACCTCCTTATTAAAATTATGTCCATTTCATTTCTTTTTTTAAAATTCTGATTTGCATAAGAACGACAATTAGAGTTAAGAATTCTGTGGTTAGTAGGAAATTAAGAGTCATTCTGTTTTATAAAATTATATCAGATAAATCATGGACTTTTTTCTTGTAAGGTTGAAATTGTATTTGAGGTTTGTCTTTTAATACATTTAATAGTTTTTAATATGATTAAATCTTTTATTTGGAATTACAGCTTCATGGGTACAGGTTTGATTTTTATTTAGGGGTAAAACTTGCTAGGTTAGATTTCCATATTACTGTGATAGGCTGTTTTTATGCAGAGTTCTTGGATACATTTTGAAATAGGGTTGGGACTGTGATTATTCTGTTTTATCACAGTCTCTCAGGTGCCCAAAGGCTCTTTCTCTGTTCTTCACTGGGTATTTTTTTGTTGTTTCTGTCTGAGTCAGGGGACTAACACACGTTATTTTTCCCCTGTGTGATCTGGAAGGCCACTCAGTGTAAGGGGCTGTGAATTTCTCTGGCTGTTTTTCCACTCCAGCATTGTTGATGAAGTTAAAGTGACCTTGGAGCTTCTGGGAATGGGAGTTTGGGGAGGATGAGAATGGGCAGCACCAGGCTACAAAAACACTGCAACAAATACAAACTGGGAGGGAACAGAGGCAGAAAGTGAACAGTTTGGGTTTTTTTTTCCTCTCCTGCCTCTTTTCAGAGGAGAACGTTGAAAAATAAAGAGGAGAAAAATAAAAAAAAAAAAAAATTAAAAAATAAAATAATAATAAAGCTGGGTTGGAGCTGCTTGGGAAGGAGCACAAAGTGTCCCCCGTGGTGCTGGCTCCAGGCTCTCTGTGACTGCTCTTTTCCTTCCCACAGAAACTCTTTGTTATTATCACCTTCAGCAAACACATCGTGGAGCAGATGGTGGCCCTCATCGGGTGAGTAATTCCCCAGCTCAGTAATTAATACCTGCACCCATTAATGGAAAATTACTGGAGGAGGCAGCTCAGATGTGCTTTGTTCCAGCCTTTGCCCCACGCAGGGTTCAGGTCTCACTTGCAGCTCCTTCCCCTCCAATCCTTGGAGATTTTTCCTGGCCCTGAGGCTCAGGGTTGTGGGATCAGCACTGAACCTTCACCCCAAACCAAAATTCAGCTCCTCCACTCCCAGATCCCTGCACTTACAGCTGCAAATGGGATGTTTGCTCTGGGTTTTGTGCAGTGGTGTGGTGGGATCCTATGGCAAAAAAAAAAAAAAAAAAGATAAAGTTAAAGAAAGTTATATTTATAGGAAAAAAAATCATCAAATTCTATGATTCCATATTAAAAACCTGAGATTTTATGCAGTGTTTCAGGTTGACAATAAAAGTCCTCCTTAACTGGAAGTACCTTAAACATTTACAACATCAAATCACTCAGAAAACATCAGAATGAGAAATTTGGTGTGTGGAGTTTGATCCCCCTTCTGTTAAATTCAGTAGAAATGGATAAAGTGTCCTGATTTTGAGAAGGTTTGGTTTGGGTTTTTTAAAAACTAAAACTAATCCAACCTAATGTAAATCCATAAAATAAATTGTAAGGTATTCCTGCTTTTCCAAGGTTTCTTCTCTGGGGTAAATGGGTATTTGGCTGCCCAAAGTATAATAAGTATTTTCACATAAAAGCTACACTCCTCAAGAAAAGTTCAGAGGGGGAATGTCTGGAAATAATTCTTTTTGAAACAAAACTCCAGGCAGTGATGCTGTACAAGGAGAAGGAGTGTCAGAAGAACCTTGCAGGGCATTTCACTGATGAAGCAAATCCTGGTTTGTTTTTTTTTTATTCCTGATCTTCTGCTTGAGCATCTGCTCTGTACCAAAACTCAAAATTAATTTGTTGCTGTGAACATTGTTTTAAAAAAGGGAGGGAGAGAGAGAAATGTGGTTTCTTTTAAGCATCCTGAGTTTTTTCTCAGCATCAATCACTGCAGACAGTTTGATCTGCCCCTAGCTCAGGTACATTTCCAAGGATTTACTCTCCTGTGGATGTTTGGAGCCAAACCCAGTAGATTTTTCCTACTTCATCTGTCTTGGAGATAATTTTGCATTGAATTACTTCGAATGCATTCACAGGAGCTCTGCTGGACTCGGGTTTTATTGGAGGGTTGATGTCAGAGTTAAAAAATGTTCCTGGGAGACAGTGAGAATTTGGAATGTCCTGGTATCCTTGACTTTTCTCAAGCTGTCTCCAGCATTACCTCATCAATTTCTGTTAGAGGGGAGCCTCAAACATGTTAAACAATACCTTGCCTAAAAGCCCTGTTATTGAATTAAAACAGAGCTCTGTTTAATGGTCAGTAACTTTATTTTAATCAAATTCTATCCACCACAATGACTTTTAGACTTTCTTTGTCTGGGCTATTGCTTTTAAACAATAGGAAATATCTGAGCACAATACCTGAAAATAATGAGCATACTGATATGCAGGATAAATGGAACCTAGACAGAAGATTAAGTTGTGAGATAAAGTCTGGGAATATCTGATTTTATAAGCCAAGGAGAATTTCTTGACAATTATGTGATTTTTAGTCAAAAGGCAAAGCTTTTTCATGTGCAGACCTTGTTCTTTATTGTCACTGGATGCTGCTGGGTCCCTCACTGAGCCTGCCATAACCAGGCTGCTTGAATGTCATTTAATTTGATTTTACAGTTTTGTCTAGGTCTCCATTACAAACAGATCATAAAATATTTTTTCTATTAATTAAACTAAAAAGGAAACTGAAAAGAAAACATGGCAGGAAATTAAGAAGCTGTTTACAGAAAATTTTAAATTTTTGTAGAATTTTTTGAGAGCTGGAGAACAAAAACAGGCCAGAGGGTGAGTGGTGGCAACAAAACTTGTTGGGAATGAGGGAAATAAATGGGTTTGAGAAGTGGGGTTGGTGTGAGGTGGAAATCCAAGATGAGGAGGATTTCCAGGAGGGAAATGGGGCTGGGAATTACCAACCTGTTCCTGCTCTGAGCTGTTCTGTTGGTGCCTCAGTGCTGGGAGAGGATCCTGCCCTCCCTGAGCTTTGGTGGGGGAAGATGCTCTGGAGGAGTTCTGTGTTCTGTCACTTCAACCAGAGTTTATTGCTGATTTTATTGAAATATTTAATTATCCTGTGTGTTGTAGGGTTTTTGGCTCCTCAGTCTCTCTGTTCCTGTATTTTACCTGCAGCTGCAGGGCTGTTGGTGAAGTCACTCCATGCAGAGTTCTTCAGAGCAGGGTGATGTTTTCTGTTTGCTGGGAAGGGGCAGTTTTAAACGTGGATTAAGAATTCCCAGAAAACTACTGAAGAAGTAATTCTCAAAGCACACAGCATCCACTAAACTGTGGCCATCTATTCTGGTGGGAAATGGTCAGAAAGAAAAAAAAAGAAAAATTATATTTTTTTTTTTAGGGAGAAATCCCAGCCTGCCCTGCAGATTCCCTGTGGCCGTGGTTAATGATGGGCTGGAGTCTGCCAGAGGTGCTCAGGTCCAGGCTGGATCCTACAGCAAAATCAGAGAATTCCTGCCTGTAAATGAGAATCCCAGAGGGGTTTGGGTCGGGCTGGGGGGGATCCCAAAGCTCCTCCAGTCCCATCCCACACCTTCCCCTGTCCCAGGCTGCTCCAAGCCCCTCCAGCCTGGCCTGGGCCTCTCCTGTTACCTCTAAAAGACTCATCGAATCAGTTAATTACTCATCTAATCAGTTAATTACCGAGTGTATAAACTGATTTGGAGTTAGAGGCCAGTGAGATTTGGCTACTTGAATTTTTAAGTCTTTTCTCGGGGGTGTTACCTCTGAGAATCCAACAAATTCTGCAAAATCCACCCCAAAAATATCAGTGCTCCTGAAGTGCCTTAACCCAGTGGTTTTTGTGGAGCTGCTTCCCACCCTTCCCAGCTCTGCAGGGCACTGAGTGATTGCACAGCTGAAAGAAAAGCAGATTTTTGGTCACAGGTACTGGAAGCATTGCCTGGACAAACCAGTTTGCTGCTATTTCTTGTGCCATAATTCTTTGCTTACAACTTAATCTCAGTTGATGCTGGTAAAGGGAGCGTGGTGTTCCTTTCACCAAAAAAGCACAAATGAGATCATGGTGACTGAGGTAACTGGAAAGTTTGCTTAAAGATTGTTGGGGTTTTTTTTTTTTTAGTCAAAAATAATTTACAATACAGGTTGAGGTTATTTCTTTAGAACACAAGGCAAGAAGTGATAAAGGGAGAACCAGAAATCTTTTCCTGGGGTGGAAAGAGCTGGGCAGTGGCTTCTCAACATCCTGGGAGGAATTTTGGAAGGTTAAACCAATACCCCTGACACTGTTAGTTCAAAACTCAACAATCTTCCTGGCACAGGTACATCAGAAACCTGGGGATGTGTCCTGAGCACAACAGAGCAGCTCCACACAAAAATGGCTTTGGTGCCCTGAAAGGGACACAGATGGGGCTGAAATCTGAGGAGCTTTGGTGTTGAAAGCCTTCCAGTGGATCACAACAGAATTAAAAGAGTTTATTTGCAAAAGGCTTGAAGGATTTAACTCTGAATAAGCAAAGGTTTTTTTTCCCCTAAATTGAGTTTTTAAGAAAGAATCTTTCAAAAGCAAGCCGAGGTTTCGTTCCAAAGAGCAGCAGTGAGCAGAGCTAAGGACGAGCAGGTCAGAGATGTTGCAATTGCTCGTTTTGAAAGCATTGATTTCACATAACAGAATGTCCCAAGGAAAAAAAGCCCTGGAGCCTCCTGGGCTGGCCTGGCCACTGGAGCGTGGCTCAGGTGGAAGCCACGTCAAAGCTGGGCCATTTTAGCTTTGGAACCTCCACCAGGATCTTTCCTTTCCTCATCCCAGGAAGCAAATGAAGCTGCCAGGGAGCCTTTTAACCCCAAAACCTTCCTGTTGATCCTGACCATAAACCAGATTTCTTTCCTGCAGCTTCAGAGCTCTGGACACAAAACCAGCTCAGCTCCAGAGCTGGAGGTGGGGGCTGGGGGCTCCTCAGGGGCTGGGGAGCCCAGGTTTGGCTGGAAAAGGAGCTGGTCCAGCTTTGGGAAGCCCCAGGATTCAGGTTTTGGGCAGCTCCAGGTTTTCCTAAACCTAATCCAGGTTTTGGGCAGCCTGAGCTCCCAGGATTCCGATTTTAAACAGCCCCAGCTCTCAGGATTCAGGTTTTGAGCAGCCCCAGGTTTCTCTAAACCTAACCCAGGTTTCCCTAAACCTAACCCCAGGTTTCTCTAAACCTAACCCCAGGTTTCTCTAAACCTAACCCCAGGTTTCTCTGAGCCTAACCCAGGTTTCTCTAAACCTAACCCAGGTTTTGACCAGCCCCAGGTTTCTCTAAACCTAACCCAGGGTTTGGGCAGCCCCAGCCCCAGATTTCTCTAAACCTAACCCAGGTTTCTCTAAGCCTAACCCAGGGTTTGGGCAGTCCCAGTCCCAGGTTTCTCTAAGCCTAACCCAGGTTTTGGGCAGTCCCAGTCCCAGGCTGAGTCAGGCTCAGGCTGAGCCCTCTGAGTCACTGCAGGGTCCTTGCTGGTGGTGGAGCCTCGGGGAAATGGATGGTTTAAATACTGTGAGAATCTTTATCAGCACAGGAAATGACAGCTCATTAAAATACTAACCGTTGAGCCAGTTTAGATCACTGTCTGGAAAAAAATTAACCATTGAAGGCTCAGAGGGCTCACAGGAAGAAAGGTGCCCTGTTGAGACAAGGGACATGTTATGCAAATGAATCAGCTTTGCTAATTGGCCGGTGGCAGAAAAATATTTCCATTGGAATTTATTTTTCAGTGGTTTTTAAAATACCTGAATTCCAAAGAAGTCGATATCACCGTGTTGGAGTGAAACTTCTGAGGGAGGGGTGGCTAAAATACCCTAAAATACCCTAAATATTAAAATACCCTAAATATTAAAATACCCTAAATACTAATATACTAAAATTCGGTGCCTGCTCCTAAATTGGAGCTGCAGGATGGATTTTTCTTGTTTTCTCACAGGGGAATGGAGAAATGGGGATCTCCTACAATTGGTGTTGGTTGGATTGTTCAATGATATTTCCCATAAATGTTAGGAAGGTGAAAGCTTTTGTGTTCCCTCTCTGGCCTGGCTGTCAAAAATCTGATTGAAATCAAGGATTTGGAGGGAGCTGAAGGTCCGGGCAGGGAGGAGCCCATCCCAGCACGTTCCCTTTCCCTGTGGGATCCTGCAGTGCCCCTTCCCTCCCTTGTGTGCAGGAGATAATCCCTGCCCTGGGCACATTTGCTGCTGCTGTGCCTTTGCTCTTCCCTGTTGTCTTCATTTGGAATTATGGATCCATTTCCCAAAGGATGTTTTTTCTCAGCCTAAAAAATCCAAATCTGGGCCAAACCTGCCCTGAGTATGTGGGGTCTGAGGGAAAAGGGATTTTCCAAGCTGTGAATATTGGAGGGATTATCCATAAAGTGGGGCTGTGACTCAATATTGCATCACCTTCCCCAGGTGTGTCCAGCCTTGTTTGCACCTTCTGTTCCCTCCAGCTTAGAATTTCCCTGATTAAATTCAATTTCATTAAATAAACTCCCATGTTTGGGACACCCCCCAGTGCTCCCAGTTTCCTGAGCATCCCACTGGGGATGGATCCCAGTTGTTCACACTCAGGGCTGGCTGCACTGGGGTTCTCAAGCACATTTTTAATTTTTAATATTTAATTCCATCAGGATCAGTTTAAGAACAGCTCAGGGCTATTAATCAGCTGCTTCAGCATCACTTGGTGTTTGAGGCCTCTAATAAGTGGGAAGCTTTTATAAACTTTCAAATTTTCATTCATGAAAAATCCCATGGTTTTATTCCCAAAATTTGAGTCTACAGTGGCAGCTTCTTTTTTTTTAATGGAAAACTCTTGCGAATTCTAACATTTCTCTATGGAAAAGTGAACAAATATCCACACATGCTTCGATAAAAAGAGAATTTTATATCCTAATTTATAATGTGACAGATTTTTGTGAGGTATTGGTGCAGTGACACTGAGGAGCAGCATTTGCTAGAGACTTTCAGGATTTAGCAGAGTTGGAATTAATTCCCTGAGTGTTCCCAAGCCCTCCAAGCACAGGCTGAGAGATTTCAGTCACTCAAGAGCAACCCAAGCTCCTAAAGATCTTTGAAGATGAAAATTTACACCTTTCAGAAGTGCAAATATCATCATTAAATAGTTACAAATAAGTGTTTTTAATATTAGTAAAAACGCAGATGACTGGAATATCAAATAACTTCTTAATTTTTGTGAGCTGGCCCAGGGAAAATTCAGTTTTTTCTCCTCTGAGTTTGGTGCTTCATCCTGGTGCCTTTGAGAAAAATCTTTCTGTAGTTCCAAAGGTTCTGTTAAAAAGATTTAAAGTTTTCCAAAAATCATTTAACAACCAGTGAAAGGCACTTGAGGTGCAACTGTTGACAGTTGTTCTTGGAAAAGCAAATTAATAAATTTAAACACAGATTTGCTGTAACTGGCCTGGAAATTTTTGGAGTCAGACTCTGCAGGTTCTTGGTGTAATTTTTAAAATAATCCTTGAGCAACTTTGCTGAATCTCTGTCATGTGGAGCTTCAAACAGTTGGGGAGTTTTGTTTTATTTATTGGAAAAGGAGCTTTAGAATTTGTCTTTTGGATAGAAATTGTATCTCTGAATTTTTTTTTTTTTTAAGAAGTGCATTTGTTTAATTACAAAGACCAGGTGATTGTTGTGAAAACAGGCACCAAGTGTTTTTTCAGTGACTCCAAATTTTTAATGGGAATTTGTGTTGTAGTATTAGAATGGAAATCATGGTTTTTTGACTGAAATGTTACAATTTTGATGAATTCAGGATTACCAAAAGCTACTGCAATTTTGGGAAGCTTGTTCTCAGTTTCAATTCCTTGTGAAACATTAAAATTGAGCAGAGAATCAGGATGAATCCAAACGAAAATTTAATATTTAACTTGAAGAGTTTCTCAAACAACTTCTGAATGAAAACAAGTTTTGAATCACAATTTCTCCTTCCACATTCTCCATTTGAAAGGAAATTGGCTTTGGATTATTCCAATTTGGATTATTTGGATTATTTGGATTATTATATTTGGGTTATCTTCCAGCATCTTCCTTCTCCATCCTGTGAAATTTTCGGTTTTTTGGAGGTGCTGAGTGCAGGAATTGTGATGCAAATCTGATCCCACCCGGATCCCACAAAATTCATCTTGAATTCCCCTTTCCTCCTCGAGGGAGCTCCGAGGTTTGCAGGGATACAGAACTCCCTTATTTCTAATTGAATTAAATTCTTTGTAAGATTTGTAGATTTAAGATTATGCCTTTGCATATCAGGTGGCACATAACTGGGTGATTAAATGATTTCATTTTGTCCAAAAAAGCAGCAGTAACTAATACAGTGCTGCCGAGATGGGATTTCAGGAATTTCATGTGGATTCCTGATTTTCTAGATTTTCTATTGCTTTTTTTTTTTTTTAACTCCTTATTTAAATCTGTGCACATTTTTTTTTCAGAATTAGTCTTTACAAATGTCTTTTGTAGTCTTTACAAAAGTCTTTACAAATGTACAAAAAATAGGAGCTGAGGTCCTCACATTCAGGATCTTGCAGTTCTTCAAAATTGCTTTGATAAAATTAATTTTGTGCACTTAAATAATAGTAGCGCACAGAAAAGGAGATTAAAAGTGAATTATTTAGTGAGAAAAAATTTGAAATATTGTTTTGATGCACCAGGAGCTCCTCAAGCCTTTTTTGTCTTTGTTCTTTGTTTAATTCGATTTGGGCACTGACCGAGTTCAGTTCTCGGTGAGGAACGGAGTCATTCGAACACCACCCAGTTAATCATTGATCCCTCACCATTTAAATATTCCTCATTTCATAATCATGCACAAGTTCAAAAGTAAACCATTACCTTGCAAGTCACTCTTCAGGGCTCCCAAGAATTGTTTGAGAAAGAAAAGAAACCTCAAAATGTCGCTGGTGCTTCGTGCCTGTGCCAGTCCCTGGAGAGCTTTTCCCAGGAGCTGAGACACCTCACCAGGAATCCCTGGGGACACGGACACAGCTCGTGGCAAAGAAGTGCATCAGGGATTTGCTTTGGGGCTCCACAGTTTTGGGTTGGGTTTCTTTTTTTTTTTTTTTTTTTTTAGAATTTTTCCCAGTCCGGGCACAGAATTTCCTCNTTTTTTTTTTTTTTTTTTTTTTCCCAGAATTTTTCCCAGTCCGGGCACAGAATTTCCTCACCCCGGTGGTGAATCACGGGGGAAACGACCTTTGCTGGGAAATGGGTTCAAAAATCCTCCTTTGCCCCTGGCCATGAAGGAAATAAATAGATTTACTGGAGGACAATGAGACACTTTGTTTCGTGCTTTTCATAAATTCCTAAAATTAGAAAGCTGTTATTTTTTAATTGGGCTTCAGCCTGGAGAAGGGAATACGGTGTCAGATGAGGAGGGGAATGGTTTGAGGCACTGGGACAATTGTACAACTCCTTGGATTGACACCTGGTGTGCCTTGGGTCTGCAGGCTTTCACTAAACCCTCCCTGGAGCAGCAGCAGGACAGGTGGGTTTAATAAAACCAAATAACCAAAATTTAGGTGAGGTTTTTTTAATGTAGAGGACCACGTGTATGATAATGTATAATGTAGATTTCTTTAAAATTAAACAAAACTCAGAATCTCCCTTCCCTTTGCAATTCGAGTGGTCAGTGATGGGAACTGGAGTTAGGATGGGCTGGATCCAACTTTGGGAATGTTCTCAACTCAGGCCGTGGGGTTACTGCTCATCATTGTGAATTTCTGCTTGAATTTTGGGAGTTTTATAATGTGGAAGAACACAGTGATTCCTTGAAAATTAAACAAAACTCAGAATCTCCCTTCCCTTTGCAATTTGAGTGGTCAGTGATGGGAACTGTGCCGTGGCTGGAGTTAGGATGGGCTGGATCCAACTTTGGGAATGTTCTCAGCTCAGGCCGTGGGGTTGCTGCTGATCATTTTTAATTTATATTTGAATTTGGGCAGGTTTTGAAGAGTTTGGGGTCTCTTGCTGAGCAGGATTGAAGGAAGAGCTGCTGGAGGCTGGGGAGAGCCGGGGGCCATCCCCATTCCCATCCCGGGACATTCCCAGATTTAGGAATTGTTTTGTGTGAACCTGGGGCTCTCCCGTTCCCGTTCCCATCCCGGGACATTCCCAGATTTAGGAATTGTTTTGTGTGAACCTGGGGCTCTCCCGTTCCCGTTCCCATCCCGGGACATTCCCAGATTTAGGAATTGTTTTGTGTGAACCTGGGGCTCTCCCGTTCCCGTTCCCATCCCGGGACATTCCCAGATTTAGGAATTGTTTTGTGTGAACCTGGGGCTCTCCCGTTCCCGTTCCCATCCCGGGACGTTCCCAGATTTAGGAATGGTTCTGTGCGCTCGGAGCGCTCCTTTGCTCCTTTGTTCCTTTGTTAATGCCGGCTCGGGGGAGGCGCTCCAGGATCGCTCCCGCATTCCTTGGGGAAGGGATGACGCACGGATTGTCCTAAAAAGGACTTGGCCGGGCAGAGGGGCCGGCTCGGAGCGGGAGAGGGCGAGGCTTGGGCCGGGCAGTTTCTTTTTTAACCGAGGGATGACACAAGGCGCAGTCATTTCCTCATTAATCGGTTCAAACCAGTTCTTACAGGAACTGCCGCTGATAAATGTGGGACTTCTCCGAAGTCATTCATTGGGTTCTCGGCGCTGCTGCCTCCCAGGAAATGCTCCAGCTCCCGGCTCCGCCGCTTCCCAGCGCTGGCTTGCTCAGAAATATTTTTCTTTTTAAGCTTTTTTTTTTTTTTTTTGAGGATCTGGGGAAATGCATCCCTCCCGAAGTATCAGATTGAAAGATGAAATGTGTTTTATTTCGTGGGTTTTCTCGAGTAGCTTCGAGTTCCCTGCTGAGCTGTGCCTCAGCCTGAATTTTGTTCTGATTAGGTAAAGTGGTAAGTTTAAAAAAAAAAAAATGTTTTTTGTTTTTTTTTTTTCTCCCCTATTTTATCTTGTTCTCTGGGATGAACTTTCCATCAGTGCTATTCCGAGTATAGGTCCTTCTCTTCAGAAGCCATTTCAAGAATATTTGGAAGCTCAGAGGATAAAACTTCACCACAAATCCGACAGTGCTGTGCCACAGGTAAGACCCTCTTTGCCTCCCTCCCTCCCCGGCTCACTTTTCCTTTCCCTGCTTGTCTCAGACTTGTAGTTTTTACAAACTCCCCATTCTGCTTTTTCACTGACCCAGGAAATAGATAAAAATCTCATTTTAAAAGCAAGCTGGGAATTAAAAATATCAATTGTATGCTACTGGATTAAAATCCTTTAGAGAATAAATGAAAGTATAAATCAAAACCGGTGGCTTGCCTTGCGTCTGCATTAGCTGCCTCTTTGGAAAGTTTAATTTAAGGAGAAAAAAGTTGCCTTTCCATGTGAAACAGTAACAAACCGGACAGTACCGATAGTTCAGAAGCCACTGGGATGTGTGGCTCAGTGAACAGAGAAATAAAATCCCCAATCCTTTAGTCTTTCAAAGGAAAGGAAATTACAGAGTTCCGAGCAGGTACAAGGGGCAGAAGTGTCCTTTGATATAGAAAAAAATAACTTTAAAAATTTTAAGAAGTATTTTTAAAAACTTACCCTGAATTTGCAGTGGGACAGGGCAGCTTTGACATAAAATTCTTTAGGCTGAGGCATTTTGAAATAAAATCCATGGATCCAACTCCCATTTCACGTGCAGTGCTCGTAGCTGTTGGCAATGTCCCTTGGCCCATTTCTTACCACAAAAGAGCCGGAGCCGGGTCTGGCTGCAGTCAGGAAATGTGCCGTGATTTCTGGGCAGGGGTTTGTGAGCAGAGCATTGCTGCCCTCCTTTGACAAAATGCACAACTCGAGAATTCCCGTGAAAAACGCTGGAACTTCGGGGACACCAAAGAGTGGGATCCTAACGGGGAGATAACCCAGAAAAGGCACTTTAGGGGAAAAAAAAAAACCCACATTGTTAACCAGTGACCCGATTGTTTTCTTTGCGAGGAACGTGACAGGCAGGGGCTGCTAATTGTGAACTGCACGAATTGTTAGCGAAGCCCAAACAATACTGGGAATAATAAATCACTTTGGGAGCACACTGGCAACGAGCAGGGATTCGTCATCTCCCCGCCAGTGGATTTGGCAGCTCCCCCTGCATTGTCTTTCAAGGGACTAAAGTCGACTTTGCAGAGGGACCTGCAGGAATCCTGTCAGCTCGCACTTGGTTCCTGCTTTTAATTTGATTAATTGCAGAATAAAGACACGGTCAGGCTTTCCCCTTTCAGCCAGAACTCTCTGTTGTCCTGTCTGCTAATCTTCATTCTCCCCCTCTTTCTGTTTTGTCTCTTCAGGGGGAAAACTGGCTATCCTGGATATTTGAAAAATTGGTGATTGTCATGGTTTGTTATTTTATCTTGTCTATAATCAACTCCATGGCCCAGAGCTATGCCAAGCGACTGCAACAGAAGATGTACTCGGAAGAAAAAACCAAATGAGCTTGGAAAAAATGGGAAAAAACCCCTCAGGATGGGTTTTGGCAGACACAAGAAATGGCACATCTTTTCATATGTTTAAAAATCAGCATTATTCAAAAAGGGGAAAAAATTTTAACACCCATTTTCAACTCTTAACAAGTTTTTTTTGTTTGATTTTGAAAGTAATTTGGATATTAGAGCAACGGTTTCATTGACAAACTTAAATTCTACGGTAAGGTGTAAATGTTCACGTTGTGTTTTACAGGATGGACAATGGGATGTTGTTAAATAGAGTTTAACACAAATGTTGTCCATCCAAATTACTTCCAAAACTGATGATATAATACTCTCCATCTCCTGATTTAACTTCAGACTGACCTGAGGGTAACGTTTTCTTTTGAAGGGTGGCTGGTTTGCTTTTTCCATAAGTTTCAAGACCATGAAAATGTAAATAACTGAGTCCAGGTCGGGTACAAACTGTTGCATGTCCCTCATGGTAAGGCTGTTCTGTCTGAATTCCCAGTGTCCCATTGCATTGCACGCTGGAAAAGCCACCCTCTCCAACTTCATGATGTTAGCAGAGATGGTTGATGTCAAAATGCTGAAGCCAACATTTTTTATTCTGTATATTTAGAATGAAGTTAAGATAAAAACTTTATAAAGTCATCTTATGATCATTCCAGAATTTCTTGTGTCAGTCTTTTTAAGCTGCTTCTTTTCCTCTCTCACTTTTGGATGCTCTGTGCATGTTTGCTCATCCTTCCTGCACTAATGGTGCTCAGACCCTTTGTTCTCTTTTTGTTTTGTTCTTTTTTTGTTGGTGTTTTTTTTTCCTTCAGAACTTCTGGCTTAGTGCAAAGGGAGGAGGAAGGCTGTGCCTTGTTTGGAGCACAGTCACTGCCTAAATAGGTTAAATGGAGAACGAGATTGGTTATCCTAAATTCTGCTCAGGTGTTTGCCCCTGAGACCAGAACTGTGGGCAGTGGAGGAGAAGAGAGAGGGAAGAGTTCAGTTCCAGCTGAAAGCAGATTCTGTGTCTACCCAGTAATGGTGCAGAGAACTTCAGAGAACCTTTAACCTCGTGCTTTTAGTCAGCTTTGTTTTGGTCAGCATGTGCCAGTTGAGATGTACAGGAACAGAACTGATATTAAAATGCCTCTTTTCCCTCTTCAGTGCATCAGTCCCCACTGCTGCTGTACCTGCATTGCTCTCATCACTTGTGAACGATTGGTTTTTATTTTATCCTAGCAGGGTAAGATGAAGAATTAATTTGCCTTTCTAATTAGCGTTGTCAGGAGGTGGCCCAGAGCCCTGAGCTGCAGCTTAGCTTATCTTAGGCTGCTCCTTGGGCCGGGTTAGGCAGGGCTGGGGGTTTTGCAGCTGTGTTGTGTTGGAGCCTGTTGTGTTGCCAGCGTCGTGCCATGCCATGGCTGTACCATCCTGTCGGATAGCTTATCAGACTGATGTTGACTGTTGGATCTCATGGCAACAACAGTCGGTAGGCTGTCTGACATTTTGGTATCTCTCATCTGACCGTTCCTCATCCATCCCCAGCTGTTTCCATTGAGCATCAGCAGCTCCTCAGTGTCTGTGCTTGGGCTGGGATTGAGCTCCGAGTGCCGCGGTCCTGCAGAACAAAGCCCTGGAAAAGCTTCCCCTGGGCGGGGCTGAGGTTTGTGCCCATTCCTTGGCTTCCCAGGGAACTTCAGTGCTGGGAATGGCTGGGGAGGATGTGCATGGACTGCTCCAAGAGATGAAATCCCAGTATCTGAAAGTCCCAGCACAGGAGTTGGTAGCAGGGAGTTGAAAGCACAGAGGCCATTCAGCTGCTCCTGGTGATTTTTAAAAGGTGAGCAGTATTTACTAAATCTTACCATTTTTTGGCCTGAATACGGCCTTTGACAATAATGTCACAAGGAACTTGTTCTGGTACAATTCCAAACCCCACAGCTGTGTTTGGAACTTCACCTTTTCAGCCTGCAAACTCTCAGTGTTGCACTTTGTCAGGGATCACCTCAGAGTTCCCTTTCCCCTCAGGACTCTGGAGCAGTGACAGCCCTTGGCTGCTCTCCCCACTTCTAGTGGCAGCTTTTTGGTCCCCAAATCTGTCATCTGAGGGACACAGGTATTTATTAACCTCTCACACTTCTGGGAGGGGACAGTATTGATGCCATGCTGGGGTCCCTGTGTGCTCTCAGGTTGGAATCAGGACACTGCAACAACAACTGAAAGAGAAAAAACTTCTTCCTAGAGCCTGAGCCAATAAACTGACCCTTTCTAAATGCTTTAGAGGTCTTCTTAAAATTCTGCCTCTTGCCTGCTGGAAACCACAAGAGAAACTGAAAACTTTCTCCCACTTTTGGTTCAATGTGTTTACATATTTATAGTGTGAAATATATATATATATCTATTGTTCTTCAGCTTGTGTTTCCATGTGTCCATTCCAATAAGCTCTGCTGTTATTTTGAAGCTTTCTAACACTCTTTAAAGAAGAAAGTGATCATTCTACCTGCTTCTACCTGGGAGATAAGAATTGGTAAAAGGTAAAAAAAAACCTAATAACAGAAAGAAAAGTGACACTAACCTGATGAGACTTGCAATGGATAGTTTTATGTTTGCTTAAATAAACAAAGAAATAACGTTTCCCAGTGTTTATTTCAGCTGGATTGTTTCCATTCTCTGTACTGAACCCTCTTGGTAACACTGTGACATTTGCTGTCCCAAACATTCTCCAATGTGAACACAGAAGATAATTCAGCAGTTGCATTTTATGCCAACAGAAAGATTCAGCCTTTAGCATTTGACCTGAAAACATGGATTTTGCTCCCTTAACCCAAAGTTTCCTTTTATTGCACATATCTTCATTACACATTGCAAGCAGTCAGTCAGTTCAGTGTGTTAGGGACAAATCCAAAGGCAAGAGGAACAATCTTGGCACAAATCTCTATTTTTAGCTGCTGTTTCTTGCAGTTAGACACTAAATAAAGTATCTTGCTTTTTTTTTTTTTCTGGGAATGACTGGAAATTACACGGAAGTAACAGGCCTGTAAAGAACAGCTAATGACTAATGTGACAGAGCCTTTTTTTAGTCTCATTATCTGTGAAAGGAGGTCAGGTAGGGCTGCAGCTCCTCCTCTGGGTTCTCTCCCTGATTTCCTGCCTGTCCCGAGCCTTGTGGCTCCCCACACCTCTGAGAGGTGGCAGTGCCCCAGCAGGCCCCAGGAATTGTTGGTGTCAGCAGAGCTCAGGTCACAGCGAGCCAGGTCAGGTCACCCCCTCCAGTTCCAGCCTCCCCTCCATCACAGGAGGCAGAGCTGCTGCTCCCCGTCCCTCCACGCTGTGTTTCTGTTCAGAACTCCCCCAGCTCTCTGTTCCTGCTAAAAGATACTTGTCACTAACACTTGACAGTGGCTTGATGCTGTTCCAGAAAGTCCTTCCCTGCTGAGCTTTTGGCCTTCATTATTGAATTTATTAGAATCAGCCTCCCTCTTGCTGCAGGCACTGCTAAGTGCAAGCAAAACACTGGATGTTTCCCTGATTATCAAGCAGAAATAGAAATATTAGTGAATTAAATTGATGGCAGGTGTAAAGAAAGGGGGGGGGGGGTTTGGGTGTGTTCTTTGGAAGGAAAAAATAATCAGTTTTCTTTGAAGCACATGGTTAAAAATACTTTGTATTTGTTATTAGAAGTTAAAAGGCTGAATGTAGTTATAGATAAGGTAATTGGAATTCCTCTTCTGAGATTTAAAATTCTGCTTTTTTTTTTTGCTGTAAATTTGGTTGGGTTTTTGGAGAAGAAGGAAAAGCAGGAAGAAAACAGTGAGTATTTCATCCTGGTGTCTCCAGACTGCAGCAGCTGGTGGAGTGTGGGAGTGGGAGGGAATCCTGGTCGTGCTGGGCAGGTGAGGGATCAGTGCTGGGTCACTGTAACCTCGGCAGAGGGGAGTGGAGCAATTCCTTGCCTGTGGAACAACTCTGCTGCACTCAGACAGCAGGGAAATATTTACACGTGCTCTTGCAAAGTCATTTTTAGAAGGATTATGCTGAAAAACTCTGAGCCTGCCGTGACTTTGTTAATTCAAGTGCCTAATTGGAGGGCATGAAATGTTGGCATGAATTTCTTTATTCATTTCACTGCTTATCAATGCATCCACTCAAAAGCAGCAGAACGGTGCTGTGGCAGAGGGAGAGGCTGGAACAACCTGGCTCAGTTGTCACAAGAGGGGAAGGAGCTCAAACACAGAAACTCAGCGCTGTTATGTCACCTCCCAGCAAACTGAGAGAGCCCTGCCACCAGTGACTGCTTAGAATGTGTTCAGAATTTAGGAAAAAAACCTGGTATTTTGGTTTAAAAAGGTGATTATTACAGCGTTTGAATTACGAGTGAAGAGGTTGAGGCCACTCAGCCCCGTTCACTGCTGGTGGTGTCCAGGTGTGGTGAAACAAAGGTGCAAATGTGAACCTGTGGAGCGAGCCCAGCTTGGGTTTAGTTTGCTTTGGCACTGCTGTGCTGAGGAGATTTTATTAATTTATTATTATTATTATTATCATCCGTGGAATGAGTGAAAGAGCAGTGACTCCATTAGCACTAAAGCAAAGGTCACCTTTCTGTAGAGCTCGTTTGAGGGGACGCGGCATCTGCCGTGATCGGGGCAGTCACTGCCAGGCCATTGTTCGCCTCTTCCCAGAAGCTGCCCGGGGTTGGCAATGAGGAAACGCGGCCAGAGAGGAGGTGGCAGCTCGGGTATTGTTCCTGCTCTGATAAAGGCCACACCCGGCTCCTGGAAACGGCTCCGAAATGGCTTCGTGACGCTGGTCTGGTGGCTTTGGTATCACCTGTAAGAAATTCTTAAGACAGCCAGTGCCTTTCCCAGGGTTCTGCTATCCACACAGTGACCTTGTGGTGCCTCTTTGCTTCTGTGCTGTCAGGAAGGAACCTGGCAGTTCTCTTGCAAGAGCTGCTGATTAAAACATTAATATCTGGTTCAAGGCTCACACTTTGAGGGACTGTGGCTTTCCTCAGAAAGGTTATGAGGATCTTTCCATCCTTTGATGGGAAAACACAAGTTTCTGTGCCCAGCGTTTCTCTGTCTCTCAGAGAAGACACACAATCAGATTTACAACACCGTGGTCACAAAAAATCTCGGGGCTGGTTGGAAACCTCACTGCTCTCAGTGCCTGGTTTGCTGCAGCTGTTTTCTGGAGAGCTCTTAATGTTTAGGATACTTTCATAACAACACATTTCATTTCTCAGATTCCTGGATTTGTAGGTCTCTCCTCAGCCCAGCTGACCTCTTGTTACACAGGCAGTGCATTCCTGGGTGTTGTGTAAGGCTCGAGGTGGGGAGCAGCAAGGAAGAAACTTTTAAGATGCCTGAAGCCAGTATTTACTTGACTCCCAACTAATGGGTGCCAAAAACATTTTCAAAGCAGTATTTTGCTACTGCAAGTGGTGATTTTAATTCTGTTGTCTCCTTTATCTTCTGTACAAAGTGTCTGTCCCACTTCTGTGTGTGGCAAAGCCCCAGTGCAGCCCTGGAGCCTCGTGGCTGCCCAGGAGGGTCCAGGTGTTTGTGGGGGAAGTGAGGCAATCTCTGCTAACACATTCCTCTTGTGCCTGAGACATCCTTCCAGTTCAGTGAAGAAGGAAAGGGTTTAAGTGTTGTTTGGCAGAGCCTGAGAGCCCTTGCTTGGAAGTGTCACTGCTGTCCCTCCCTCGGGCCTTGGAGCCCTCTCTGCCCTCGGTGTCGCTGGTTTTGGCCAAGTTCAAGCCCGTTCCCTGCAGTTTTGTTCAGTTTGAACACAACCCCACGTGCTGAGGTCCCTTCCTCGTGTCACTGAAGAGTGAGCTCTCCTGTCACAGCACACATCAGGTTTGTGTCTGTTTTTAATGTGAAAATACTGGGTTTGAGGGGAAGCCTGACTAAATCTTTATAGAGGAAAATAATGTGAAACCCTGAGCTAGTGGCTGGGTGGGGGGAATGGAAGCTTTCTTCTTGGGAGCAGAGCATTCAACTGGATTTTTGGTCTTTCATTGCCAAATTTATAGTTTTGACTGTTTTATAAGTTACATTTGGTTTCTTCACCAAAATTCAGCCTATAAATGAAAGATTCACAACTTCAAATCACTCCATAAACACAATTGCTGACTTCAGTGACTCCCAGTCAGCCAACACAGGCTGGAGTTGCCCAAAGTGGGCTGGGGAGGAAACTTCCCAGTGGTTTCTTTGCAAGTGGCAGGAGGACAGGCCAGCAGCAGCAAGCACTTCATGGAAAGATGGATCCTTGAGCTCAGGATTGCTGCAGGCCATCTGGAAAGCAGAGCTCTGAATTAGTGCCCAGCTCTCTCCACCCTCACTGAGATTCCAGCAGCAGCCACAGCTGCCCTTGCCAGCCAAGTGCAGGCAGGATTTGATTCCACCTTGAGCCTGTGGGATGAGGCCACTTCCCCTTGGGCTCCGTGGGCTCTGCTCTCCTGACGTGCTCCTGTAAATGATCCATTACATCTTGGAGATTGCTGGGCAGAAATTCAAATCCAGTCCTGCCATCTGCCCACAATTACACCATTCTCAGGACACTGAAGTGTATTTTGTGAGCCTTAAATAAACATGACATTGTCCATGTAACCAAATATGCACAATAATCATTTTTGCAGAACACACCAATTCCAGTGCAAATCCAACACGGGGCTCCTTTCTCCTCACATACAACCAGTGAAACAAAAGCTCAAGCAATGTTTTTCTCTTTTTTCTTTTTTTGTTTAACCAGTGTCTCGTTTTAGTTTCTCCACTTAGTGCTTTTACTTTTAAAATAGGAATTTTGGCCTAGAGAACACTCTCAGTTTACTAATTTTTTCTATCTTAGGGTGTAACATTTGGGATTTTAAAGTTTGGTTTTAAGACAAGAAGGTTTCTAGCACCTAAATCACACAGGTAAGTGTGACTCTCTTGGGAGCCACTGTTTGATATCTCTCAGGCTTGTATGAACATGGGGTTAAAATTTACATTTCTTCCATGATCTTTCTCATGGAGCACATTTACTCTAAAAATTACCTTTATTTCCTAAAGAGCAGCTTCTCCAGTCTCTTCTCCGGGGCCGTTTCCAGCTTTTCCCTGTGGCTGGCAGGAATTTTTCTTTATTGCAGCTGCTGGAAAGGGTTAAGCGGGGCTGTGCTGCTGCAGGGCGGGGCTGCAGGGACAGGATTCCCACAATGCGAGCTCAGGAGGGACCATTGTGGACTGAGAGAGCCGGAAAGGCTCCGCGGTTCAAATTCAGGATTATCAGCTCCACTTCCAGGCTGTTAAAAGCTGCCCGAGTGCCCGGGCTGTGGACAGGGGCAGCAGGAGCAGGGAGCTCCGGGGGAATTTGGAAAAGCTCTGTCTGGGCTGCCCTTGAGCCAAGGCAGCAGCTCAGTTCCTTTTTATTTTTTTTTTTTTTTGCTATATCGGATCCATGAATCACTTCCCTGATTGCTCTTGCGCAGTTTTTAAAGTGGTGTCCAGCAAAAAAGCAGATTTCTTTAAAGTACACTCGGTCCTATTTCCTTTTGGATGTTTGGGCTCTCATTTAATAATATTTATCCATACTTAATTTATTAGCATAAGCAGAAATAAGTGAATTATTTATTCAAGACTTTTTTGTATC